TTTCAAAGAATTATACCTTTTTGAAAATTGTTTATATTTTCAACCTTCAGACAAAATTAACACCCCTGATGCATCTTGATGAAAAAGAATCATTATAAGACATGGGGAAAATGCATCTTAGGATTCTTACTTAAGTTGACTCTTATAGTCTATGGGATAAAAAGATATTATTTAGAAAGCAAAACAGAAACATTCCGTTTTCGAAATCTGATAAAAAAATCATTCATAGAGCAATTAGTTTACGCCCAGAAGGTGGAATCGAACCACTCTGACTCTCATCAGCTACGGGTTTGAAGCCCGCACACCGGACCACCGATGCTCATCTGGGCATAGAACACTTATTTCTCGCTTTCATTTATAACAAAGCTTCTACAATAACATAAAAATAGTGGTTGGGAACATATTTTGAATCTTTCCGAATGTTTGCAAAGTGTGTGTTAAATAACGTAGCATTTAAAGCAACATTAGGTCTTTTGGCGATGGACCTTATAATTATGAACTGTTGTGGTTGAGGACGACACTGAATCAATAATCCACACCATGCCAACATCGGGTATTTGAGCAGCGCATCTATTGTTAAATGTAATTTGCTGATTTGTGTATTGTACCAAACAATACGAATTTCATTTCGCATTTCTACTTTTAAGACATTTTGATAGAAAATATCTTTTAAGAAAAGAAAAAAAAATGATTATTTTATTCCAATACAGGAAACATTGAATATATCCAAGACATGCAAAGCTAATATTTCAAAACTAAAGACTAACTATAATTTTCAGAAATATCGATAAAAAATGAACGCATTTTTGAGATAATACATCTCAGCTAATCTGCCCACGCCCAGAAGGTGGAATCGAACCACTCTGACTCTCATCAGCTACGGGTTTGAAGACCGCACACCGGTCCACCGATGCTCATCTGGGCATAGAACAACCGTAGCTCGCTACCATTTATAACAAAGCTTCCACACTAACTCAAAAATAGTGGTTGTCAACACACATTGAATCTTTCCGAATATTTGCTGAGTGAGTGTTCTTTAATGTTGCACTTAAAGCGACACTAGGGCTATTGGTGACAGACTTCGTAATTTTGAACCAAATTCAGGTGCCGAGGACGACATTTGAATTGGTAACTTTATCTCCAAAATTACACACCTCGCCAACGAATAGATTTTGAGGCTTGACAGATCTAACATGTATCAGCCTCTCTAGGTGGAGGGTCTTCAGTGTCACTAGGTCTCGGACCCGTGACTTGACAATTTTGCTCACAAGTTCGAGACCAGACCCCATACGGCGTCCGTACTATTTTTGTACATGTTGTAGCAAAACATTTTAAAAAATTACCCCAGTAGCAGTGTTCGAGTTCTACGCATTAATGTGTATGTGTGTGTGTTTTTTATACGATTTTGATTTTAAATTCAATTGAAGATATGTTCAAAAACAAAAATTCTAAAACTAAACTTAAATTGACATAGTTTCAATTCTCAAACTTGAATATCTCAAAAATTATTATACCTAAAATTTTTTTTTACTTCACATTTTGAAAATTATAAAAAATTTATAAAAAAAAAAAGTTATTTAATATCTTGCATCAAAACCCAGGGTTAAATATGTTTTTATGTATTTTTTCTAAATTATATATCACATATATTATTACAGCAAAAAAAAAAAATTTTCTTTTTGGTTTTGAATTATCATTAAGCCTTCAAAAATATTATTTGATGAATAAATCACTGATTTATTTTTTTATTAAAAAGAGATTTTGATCAAAAATGAAATCCAAACACTTTTTACAATTCTTAGAATTTATTTTTAAAATTATCAATTAAAATAGTAATATATAAAGCAAAACTTTAAAAAAATATATCGTTAATGACTTTTAAATTTTTATCAGATATAATACTTAAATGAAAAAAAAATTGTAAAAATGAACATGAAAAGCTATAAATTAATCTTAAACAGAGGACTCATCGTAAACATATTATAAAACAAGATAAAATTCTGAAGTATTTTTGGATCAATATATATATAACTTCTCTTCTTCTAAAAAAATTACTTTTATTCTACGCAAAATCTTATAATATTTCCCTCCAATAACATGTGTGTGGCAAACCTAAAAAAAAATTTATACGTAAGAAAAAGATATTTTCTCGCTTCATTTCTTCCCATCTATTGACAAAGTGAACTGAAGTGTACCGAAGTAAAATTATTTTGACTCCAAACTGTCTGCTTCGTCTTTCGCGTTATTTTCCAATACGCGAGAATAAAATTCTCGAGCAATGAAATAAAGTATGACATGTTTTACAACCCAAGCAATCCATATTTCTGACATTCCAATCCGAATTTAATAAATTCTTTAGACTGCAAGAGAGTGTTTTGTGGCAACGACGGATAGTAATCTAATAAATTGGATTTCAAAACTTCCCTTGCTTGAAATTAATACTAGTTTCCGGAAATCCAGCTTAATTAATTTTGTGTCAGATTATTTATGACATTTGAATGTTTTGGATTGCTTTAAAACGTGAAAGAGCGTAATTAAATGAAATATCTGTAGAATTCATGTTATTTCTGTTTCACTTTTGGAGAAGACTATTCCTTTTAATTTTCCTGTCGAAACTGATATACTACTGTGCATTTTTCTTCTTAAAGTATTTTCAGTTCCACATTTGTCCAAGATCTTAAGAATTTGATAACTGAATTCTAAGCTACAGAGAGAAAACAAGTTTTAAAGTACCTATTATAATATTGATTATTAAACCGTTGTTTGAGGTTACGAATTTCGTCGTTAATAGCCCTTTTGTTGACCCTTTAACTGCGATTTTCTCCCCAGTACCACCGTTTTCAACAATTTTTTATTAGCTTCACCTGTATCTTACAGAATTTTTGAACTCCATTTTTATCCACTTTAAAAAGTCAAATTAATTCAACATTTTGCACATTTGTCAAGGATTGATGACAATAAAATAGTTTAATACTGTTGTTCCATTATCCTGATCAGGATAATCAGGATTAACAATTTCCCATTTTCAGATTTGGAGATTAAAAGGTTAAGTTACACCCCTAGAGCAAAAACGCTTTTGGTTAATACAAATAGTGATCTTTTTAGTGAAAAATATCATTGACTTTTTACACCTTCTTCCGCATGAAATATTTCAAACTTAGCTCTTTTAGATTTCCTTCAGTTTGTTGATTCGACATTTTGCAAACCAGGCTGTATCGACGCACTGATAGGATGCCTGTGGGTATTCTAGATTCGTATTGGCAGACGCATTTAAGATTAATTCATCCATGAATAGATGATAATTTAAAGAACGAAAAAAACAACAACATGCTTTTATTGTTGATCGAACTAAAAAATAAAAAATAAATTATAATTAAAAAAAAAACTAAAAAAAACCCCGCTTTTATAGTTAATGGAACTAAAAAGTAAAAAAAAATCTTAATATAAGAATAAAAGGATTATAACGAGATAATTAATGTCACATTGTGGTAAAAGCGAGGGGTACTTTGTACTACATTTTTACACTAACTCTCATTTCTGAATAGAACTACTAAGAATTTATAACATTTAATGTCGAGCACTCCCGACGCTTTTACCACAATGACATTAATTTTCTCGTTAATCCTTTTATTCTTAGAAAATGAATTTTTATTTTTACTTACTAGTTCCATTAACTATAGAAGCGTGTTAATTAGTTTTTTGAACCATAATTTATTCCCCTAAGTGTGCGTTTGCGGTGTCTGGGGGAGGGGAGAAAAGAAAGAAATAATTTAATTTTTCTCTGAAATAAGTCAATCCTTTGCAGACACTGTCAAAGTCATTTTATTGCATTACAAAGCCTCCTGAATAGTTTTACTGACAGCAGTGCAAAAATAAGAATCGTATTTTGGCATGACGTATATGCATGTACGGGCACTCAAACGTAACGGTTAAACGAGACAGATATATACGCTGGCTGCAAATAAGGGGTTGATGCAAAACTTCAATCCAACCATTTACGAAATTTTCGGAAAATAAATATGTAAATTACAAAATCTTCTAAAACAATATCAGAAACAGGCACAAAAGAAAAAAAAATATATCGATACAAAATTTAAAGTTTTCGTATTTTATGCTCAATATTAAAAGCCGAAAAAGTAATTAATTAGTACAGAACTATTGATGATGGAACTCATAAATTTTGATCGGGGTCAAGTGACGAGAATGAATCGGTTCAGTAGTTTTTGAAAATTTCGCAGATGAGTGAGTATTTATTTAGGGTCACAATCGAAAGCAACGAGAGGGACATTGGCACAAAGAGCCTTATAATTTTGATCCATGATCAAATGACATTACCTGAGCTAGCACCCAGAGGAATCGTGCTCACCCGGAGCCTCCACAGATTTAATGTGAGCTTCTTTTTTTCAGATAGGTCTTCAGTAGTGCTAGGGCTTGAACTCATGATACGCCGGCCACGAGTTCGTGAGTGTAACCACTAGGCTACCGCGGCCACTTAACGATATTGGAGCATCGCGCTTTAGTTATAATTCTATAAAAGAACTATAGTCCCGATTCATATAATAGTTTCTGCTCGTTAAGTGAAACTTAGTGATGTGGTGTGGAACAAGTGACATCCTCGTCATAGAGCCCTTGTTCGAAACTATTAGGTTTACTGAATAACTCAAATGCGCTTATAGAACTTCGATAATTCAAAACAACCAATTTACCATGACGCATCAGAATATTGTTTTAATCGATCAAGTAACATAATTTTTTTTTTAAAAATCATTTCTTACTTAGGTAAAAAATTTTTTTATTTTTATTTTAATCACTTTTTATTAATTAATTACAATTAATATAAGCATGTATATACATATAACAGGATCACAATATTAAGTGGCAAAATAGACATATGGTGTTGAACTATCATTTTTGTTTGTTTGTTACTATTTATTCAATAATTGAATTTAGTTATTCCAATATAGTAGAGTAAAAAGAAATCACATTTTCAGAAATTAGGCCATCCCAGGTGGAAGTCAAACCCATGGCCTTTGGATTAGAAGATCAACGCGCTAACCATTGCGCGACAGAAACACAGCGAGTGCTTTTCCTTTTTATATATATGGTGTTGGACTATTGTTTGTTACTAATAATTCATTACATAATGAATTAATTTGTGAAAAAACTGCATTAACATCAAGTGTCATCCGCAAAAAGTTTAAAAAATGTATTTGAACTCGAATGGAGGATTTGTAGTACTATGACTTAGTAACGATTATAAATTTGAACAATATACAGTGGGTAAAAAAAGTATTTGCACACCTACATTTTTGTTTGCAATTCATAAAAAGAAGCATTAAGAAATAAAAAAATTGGAATTACCAAATCAGAATAAATTTAATCATCCAAAAGAAACAGAAAAATTACAATAATATAAATAACAATGCTTTTTTGTAACAAAATTAAAATATCTCGTGTCAAAAAAGTATTTGCACACCTGCATGAATACAAAAGAAATAAAATATTTAAGCAAATTTCAAATAACTAATATTTAGTATGCATTCCTTTAGCATCTATTACTGCTTGTAATCTTGCTGGCATTGATTTAATTAAATTTTCTGTAACAATAGGGTCAGTATTTGACCACTCTTCAATAAGGGATTGTTTAAGGGCAGATTTGCTTGAAATCTTCCTTTTTCTTATTTTTAAATCCACAGAATTCCACAAATTTTCCAAAGGATTTAAGTCTGGTGATTGTGGTGGAGTGGCAAGTTTTCTGGGTACATGATAAAGCAACCACATACGTGTTATACCGGCAGTGTGCTTGGGATCATTGTCTTGCTGAAAATAGTACGAATTACTGATACCCAATTTTATTGCACTTTGTGGCAAGTTATCTCGCAACACATCAATATAGGTTCGAGCTGTTATATTCCCATCAATGCAACACAAATTACCAACTCCTTTGCTAGTCATGTACCCCCAAATCATAACAGAACCTCCTCCATGTTTAACTGTAGTAACACATTGTGGGTATGAAAAGCAGTACAAGGTTTTCTCCAAACTAATTTCCCGACATCTGATTTAAAGATATTGAACTTACTCTCGTCGGAGAATATGACATTTTTCCAGAAATCAATTGGCTTATTGATATATTCCTTAGCTAATTCAAGTCTCTTCAGTCTATTTCGTTCAGTCATGAGAGGTTTTTTCCTTAGAGATCTCCCATAAATTTGTGCATCATGCAGGACATTTCGAACACTTTGGGCACAGATTTGAGCTCCAGATGTTGAAGCGACATCATTGGCTAATGTAACTGCACTAACAAATGGATTTATCGATGCTTCTCTTATGATTTTTCGCTTAATTCGCAGTGAAAGTTTTTTTGGGCATCCAGAGCGCAAGTTATTTGATGTAGATCCTCTTTCTTTATGACGTTTTATAACATACCGAACAGTAGAGAAGCAAACATATACTTTTTTACCTATTTCTCGATAACTTATGTCATTTTCACGTAGAGAAACAATTTTTTCTCTCAACGAAATAGGCAATTCAGATTTCTTAGGTGCCATAACAATTTGAAATCGACAATCAACTGATAAAAGTTTCGACAATACCTCCTTTTATAGTAGTCTTACGTATGTTATTTACTGCGGGATGACTATCAAATAATTAGCAAAAAAATGCAAATTTGCTAAAGTTGAGTGAGTGTGCAAATACTTTTTTGACATAAGATATTTTAATATTGTTGCAAAAAATGTTTTTTTTTAATATTATTGTATTTTTTGTAATTAATTTAAATGAATAGGCTTATTTTATTTTTAAAATGCCAATTTTTGTATTTCTTAATGTATTTTCTTATAAATTGTGAACAAAAATGTATGTGTGCAAATACTTTTTGTACCCACTGTATATAGGAAAAATAATAGGGATTGAAAAATAACGAGAATCATTAGGTTAAAAAGTTACTCAAGAAATTATTTAAGCGTTTTGTGGTGTGTGGTTAAAAATAATTTATACTCTTGAAACATTTTTTCTTCACAGCGTTAAATGATTTCATATTTCCTTTTATTTAGGATGAACTGAGATTTGTGAGATGAAGATAAATTACCAGAACACAAGTAGATACAGTCAAACTTGTTCAGTTTATTCAAAAACAAGTAAAGCCTTGTCTGCTCCTAACGACTATAATATTATGTTTTTTCCATGAAAAATCGTAATTTACTTAGCATCTTTTCAGAAAACTCGAAAACGAAATTTATGATATCTTTTGGATTTGAAGCAAGTTCTGCTTTTTGATGTATGTAACTACTTTCTACTCATACTTTAAAAATAGTTTTCTCTTATGAAGAGATATGATTTCTCTGTAAGTTACAAATCATCGCAAACAAGATAAATAACAAATTATAGCAACATAAAATAATACAATTGTTTCATGTTCTAGTGTTATTATTTGTTTTTGTAAAGGATGGTCATTGTGTGTGTAATGTAAATAGCTAACGTGATAATTAAATTTCACAAAATAGACTAAGATAAATTTAATAAAATACTAATATTGTAACGTAGATTGCGGTTCGAAGAATTTGATGCAATCATTCACAAAGCGCAGGGTAGTACTGTAAGAGTGATAAGAATTTATGACCGAAAAACAATCTTTGATATACAGGATACGCAGGAAAATTCACAGAATAAATCTCAAAAGGTCTTCACACCTTCAAAAGCGCTCAGATCCAAATATCAGTGTCTAAAATACGAGTATGATAAAGAATATTCACCAGCACTTGCTCGTCCTACTCAACAACGGAAGTAATCACAAACCGCTATTTGACTTTTCAACGTTCAAAACAAGACTAGCTTAGTTTAAGCGATGACTCCCTATTTACAGATCTCACAAACCTTTCGAGGAAAATCCGCTGGCGTGTCAGATCGTGATATTGGTAGATTTCTCCACTAATTTCCATAAGAATTCATACGGTCAGGGCTCTCCAAAATTATCGTCAAGTCCCCAACATGGTCACCAAGCCGCCAACATGGTCTCCAAGCCACCAAAATGGTCGCCAAAATGATGCCAACTTGGCTCTATCATCAATATTTTGTCAGGTTTCCATTGAATCGCCATTATAATGTAAGAAGCGGCGTTGCTTGCGAATATTGCGATTTTAACGCAAAATAAATATAACAAAGAGTAATATAAATGTATTTTACATCCAGATATAAATTATTTACACTATTTTAAATATTATTTGCACAAAATTCCTTACAATATACATGTGTTTGTGTAGCGTAGTAAAGTAAAAGTTATCGAAGAATAAATGGCCATTTTATTACGAAGAAATTGAAGGGCACTAGGTACGTTAAATTACAGACATTCTTACGGCGACACGCTCATAAAAGCCGCAATCGAATTCTGTTTACCGACGAGAAAAATTTTTTGACATTGAAGAATTTTTCAATCATAAAAATGACCATATATACGCAAGGCATATCCAAGATGCTAACGAGAAGAAAAAATATCTACAGGGAGCTCGTCATCTAGCTTTTGCAATGTTTGGTATGGTGTCAGTTTTAAAGGTATTTCAGAGAGTCATTTTACAAAAAAGAACTGAAAACCACAGTAACAGTTTATTAAGACACTATCATATAACCAAATAAGGAACCCTCTGAACTTAAACCTGTTCAATGAAAACAATTGGACTTTTCAATAGGACTCCGCTACTGCTCATAATTCGAAGACGTCCCAGTGGTGGTTGAAACAGAATGTACCGAATTTCACACAGCCGAAAGATTGGGCTTCCAGAAGTGTGAATTTAAAGCTGCCCGACTATAAATTGTGGTCAGTTTTGCAGAAAAATTGTGTCCAAAAAGGCGTCTCAATTTTAACAGACTTCAATGTTGAACAGACGAATGTTCTTTAAGGAAATTAGTGAAAGAAATTACCATAAAAGTAGAGTGTACTACGATAGAGGATTGGTCAAAGCCTGTGTGAAGTCAGAAGATCATATATTAGAAAATTTGCAGTATGTTAAATTTAAAGTTAAAAAGTAAAAATATTTAGTTTTAAATTTGATTACAATGTGCTTTATTTTAACTCCTTTTTATTTGAATCAGAACTTATGGCCCATTAGGTATAAATCAGCAAAAAAAAAAAAAAAATTCTGTGTAGCAGCACTTATTGTTCAGAATACCTGTGTTACCCTGCAGCAAATTTCTCTACAGGGACTCTTTAGGTGTCGACATATAAAATATCTACAAATAAATTCTACTTAATGTTTTTTCTTACTAACTTACTGAATTAATACTAATAGCAGCAAAGAGAAAGATGCATGAAAGGATTACAATCGGCGTTATATCATCTTGGATTAATAGAAACATTCGGCAAATTGTTGCCTACCCCTGGCTAACAGAAAAATGCTGAAAAATAGCTTTTGTTATCATCGTTTGAAGCTCTTGTTTATTCATCATCTACAATGCATATAAATGATGTCCTTTTTAGTTAAAAATAATTTAGTGCTATAAAGTTAGTAATATATCACAAGCAATAACAATTTAACAAGTAATATAAAATTTTTTTATGTCAATTCCTACTTAGATGAACAACAAAATTATTTTAGTTAACTTTTATTAAATAGTTACAATTAATATAAATATGTACATATATACAACAGAATCACAACATTAAGTGGCAATTAATTTTTAATAATTAAAATTAATGTGTCGCATTGTCATCTTAAACAATTGTGTATATAAAATTTCAGTTCAACTGTTCAGCTTTGAAAGGTGAGAAAAAGAAAATATTATAAAGTTTTGACCGAAGTCGCGCTTGCTAAGAATTAAGCCAACGTGTGGCTGTATCTGTAATTTTTTAAATAATTAATTTCAGTAAATAATTTTAATGAATTATAATTAAATTATCGTATTGTTACCCAAAACAAGAGTGTATAGAAAATTTCAGTTCAAATGAGCGCTTTAAAATGTGAGTAAAAAACCTTTCAAGATTTTTCAATCCAAAATGGTTGCTAAGTCGCCAGAAATGATACCAACGTGGTTGTATTTGTAATTCTTTAAATAATTAGTTTTAATCAATAAATTTTTAT